AAAATCACCTTCTAGAAACATCTAGAATAATGACTGACCAAATATCTGGGTACCTTCGCCCAGCCAGATTGATGCACAGAATTAATCATATAGATCCTTGGAAGGTGGGGCTCATGTTTGCAAATGAAATGAAAAAGGTCCAGACCTTTTTGCTAACAAGTATAACCTCTGGAGAAAAAGAGTTTGAAGTGCTGGATTATGATGACTGATTTTTCTTTAATTTTCTGTGTTTTTCTAATGTTTGGAGTATTTCCTACAATTGTCCTTACAGTTTTAAAAATAAGAAGAAGAAAAACTATTTTTCCCCATTGCCCTCCCCTCCGCCAAGATACATCCTATAAAGGTACAAGTTCCCAATGATAAATGTAAATATATTGTATACCTAAAATGTACCAATAAAAGAATTTAAGGAAAAAAGTTTAAATAGAATAATCAGCATCTTCATATATTTTAAAAATAACACAAGAGGAATTGAGTTTAAACTTACTAATCAAGTCCAAAACAAGCAAGTTGGTTGAGTAATAGCGTGGTGTTCCTCCTTGGCTCTTGATCCTCTGGGTGACAGGGAAAGGGAGACCCCCACCCAGTGGGCAGAATAAACAAGGTGAGATGGAAAGGAAGCATAGGCAGTGGCTCTGACGTGAGTGGAAAGGTGGTTTGGGGTTTTGTTTGTTGTTGTTGGTATTGCTGTTTGTTTGGTTTTACAAAAAATTCTTTGTGCAGGGAGAGTTCTTTAGGACACCATCCCTGTGGAGAACTCCTCATGCCTACACCTACTGTGGCCTCTGAAGTACAAAAGAGCTTCCCTTAAAGCCATCATTTTCAGCAGCTCACTGCTAGTAGAGAGCAGTTTTCCTAGACACATTACACTCTGTTTTTTGACAGTGCTTGACACCTGATTGCCACTTTGTATTGAGCATATGGACCAGTACTTTCTTTTGTTTCTACTTTTAAATGATTAGTTACTTTCTCATAGAGAATGTTGAGCTTTATATGAACTCTGATCTTACATTTTGTTCCTTCGTGTAATAGCTCTTCTTTTTTCCAATAAACATTTTAATCTATAAGCAAAATGCCTTTTGTTCACAGATGTAGTTTCTCAGCTGAATTTATCACTTCTCAAGTTTTTGTCAAAGCATTCTGCTTGTAGAAAATTATGTAACACTGGTTATCTTCCCCAAAAAATTACTGTGGCATGTTCTCAGACAATAAAGTTTTAACCATTTATATTTTCATTTATTTATTCTTTTTTCTGAATATGGACTTATTGACATTTTTTTTTTGAGGGCCATGCACTAAAGCTAGGAACAGACTTAAGAGTTTAAAATCTTGAAAAAGTCTTGGTTTTCTCAATTCTTAAATACTAGGGTTAAAGTTGGACATGATGGCATGTGCCTGTAATCCCAGGACCCAGGAGGCTGAGGCAGGAGGATCACTGCAAATTTGAGGCCAGCCTTGGCTACATAGTGAGTTCAAGGCCAACCTGAACTCCATAGTGAGACCTTGTGTCCAAAAAAGAAAAAATAAATTAAATACTCGGGTTAGGACAAGTGATTGTTGAAGCCAGGTGCAGCATTGAATTATTGAATTCTTTTTTTTTTTTTGCACAGATACTGATAGTCATAATCTATTTTTGTTTTTTATTATGTACATGTTTTTAAATACCTATACAGGGTGGAATGGTTGAATGTAGCTTGTTAACAAGCACTACTTCACCCAGTTATTCTTACAGCACACAAAATCCACTCTGTTTACTTTTTTCAGGATAACAGTGTACCCATCATCACTGATGACATTATTATCATCTTGCTGTAAAATAAACCTCTTAAAGTGTGTTCCTCCTAACAATAAGTATGTATCCATCCTCTGACCAACGTCTGTCCACCCCAGCCTGTGGTCACCACTCTTCATTCTACTCTCTCATTTTATGAGGTCAGCTTTTTAAAATTCCATGTATGAGTGAAATCATACTACACCATTTACTTTAAATTAAAGCTGGTTTTGTTTAAATCACTTATACTAATACTTTGTTTTGAATACTTTGGTGACAACTGCTTAGAGTTTTTATCTTGGGGCTTAATATAATCAGTAAGCACTGTTATAATTTTCTTGAAATTGGTAGCTTTTTAATGTGAAATAATTGCGTTCCAACTCTATTTGCCTACAAATATATTTGATTGAAATACTACTTGCTGCTCTGTGGGAAGTACAAGATTGCTTCAGATGAGCAGCATTAAGTACTTAATTTTCTATTTAACAGAACATTCATCTAAACTTATACATGCAATATCAGTCTTTAATGGCATTGTGAGAGCTCTTAAAGTAGGAAATTTGCAAACCCAAATTCTATGCATTTGTTTGTACAGATCAGTAAGTTAACTCTTTGGGATTTTGATTTGATAATGAAAAATGTTTTGTCAATGTATATCAATTGAGTATCAATAAATATCAATGTAACATCATTCTAGCTATATTCATAATTCTCTATTGGATTCTTTCCTTCAACATTTAATTACTTACATTATTATCTTGCTGTAAATTACTTATATGTAATTACTCTTTCTAGAGTGAGATGGAATCTCAGCATTGTTTTAATGTGCATCTCTTGAATGACCAGTGGTGTTGAACATTTTTCATATATTTTCCATTTCTAATTTTTTTTTCTGGTGCCTGGGATCAAACTCAGGGCCTTGTGTTTGCCAGGCAGGCATGGCACCACTGAGCTACATCCCTAGCAGCCATTTCTAATTCTTTATCTGAGAAGTGTCTATTCATTTCAGATGCCCATTTTTGCACTGGATCTTTAAATTTGAGGGTCTGATTATTTTGAATTCTTTGTAGTCTAGATGATTGTCCTTTATCTAAATAGCTGGTAAAAATTTTTTTCCTGATCTGTGGGTTGTCTCTTCACTCTGTTGGTTTCTCTTGCTGTGCAAAAGCTTTTTAATAAGATGAGGTCCAGTTGTTGATTCTTTGTAGTATTTCCCTTGTGGTCTGGGTTTTGTTCGTGAAATCTTTGCCTACTCTTATGTCCTCAGGCATTCTACCTGTTCTCTTTTCCAGCAGATTTAGTGTTTTTGTTTTAATATTTAGATCTTTGATCCATTTTGATTTTAGATTAGTATGTGGTGAAAGATATGGGTCTAGTTTGAATCTTAGGCATATGGAAAGCCAGTTTTTCCAGAACCATTTATTAAAGAAGCTATCTTTCTTCCAGTGAAGGTGTTTGGCTCCTTTGTCAAAGATAAGGTGGTTGTGTGTTTCTGGAGTTGTTTCTGCATCCTCTAGTCTGTTCCATTGATCCTTGGGTCTGTTCTTTTGCCAGTACTATGCTGTTTTTTGTTTGTTTATTTTTGTTTTTTGTTTTGGTACCAGGGAATGAACTCAAGACTTTCTGCTGATGAGGCCGGCAGCAGAACCACCAGCCTTTAACCGTGCTGTTTATATCACCATAGTTTTGTAGTATAATTTAAAGGCAGGGGGTCGAGGATTTCGCTTAGTGGTTCTGCCACTACCTGCCTCACCAGCACAAGGTCCTGAGTTCAATCCCTGGTACCAATAAAATAAAGTCAGGGATTATAATACCCCCTGCTTTGTAAATGAATTTTAGGATTGTTTTTTCTAATTCTGTGAGATATTCTGTTGGGATTTTGATTGAAATTGCATTGAATCTCTATAACAATTTTGGAAGTATGGCCATTTTTAATATGTTGGTTCTAACTATCCAAGAACAAAGGATATCTTTCCATTTTCTGATATCCTCTTCAGTCTCCTTTTTCTAAGTACTGTAGTTTCATTGTAGAGGTCTTTTACTTCCTTTGTTGGATTGATTCCTAGATATTTCATTGTGGGGGATGCTATTGTGAAAGGGAGTGTTTGTCTAATTTCCAAAGATTTCTTTTATCACTAAAAAATTTAGTACTCTTAAACTGTCACATGCTACTTTAAGTGAAATTCAGGTTTAAGAGTTGAAATTCTATTCTTTCCAAAGCTGATTTGGATGTAACAGCCATGCTTAGGTATTCCCTTTTCAAAATCTGTGGTACTCTTCGGAGTCTACTACTAATCAATACTTTGTCTATACATTTCATGAAAGATAATTTCTTTAAAACATGGGTATATTGGGCCTGGGGTTTGGCTCTGTGGTTCTGCTGCCTACCTCATAAGTGCAAGGTCCCGAGTTCGATCTCCAGTACCCCCCCCAAAAAAAAACAAGAAAAAAGTGGGTATATTAAAGGGTAAGAAATAATTTACCTCTGGTTGTGATTACCAGGGTGATAAATGACATCTACCTGGTGGTAAGCCATTTGAAACTCATTTTGTCTTTCACAATTTACTGAAAACCTCTGTTTTTGTTTGTTTTTTTTTTAACACTGGAAAGAAGTGATATGTTCTAGCCTTTCAGAGTAGCCGTTAATAATAATAATACCCACTGTTATCTCTTGAACCTTTATTCCCTGAATCGACAGGCCCCATAAAAAAGTCTATTGGGAGCTAGAGTATGGTAAAAAAAACAAACAAAAAAATCACTTTAGTACTTGTATGATAAGTATTCTACTAAGATGCTATGGGATCACAGAGGACTTTGTGAGTCCTTAGCTCTGCCGAGGGGAGCATTTTGTCTGGATAACTTTTATCTTATTGAAGAAATTGCTTTACTACATTTGGTGGGGGAGGAGTTATGCTGAGATTGGAATTGATTCAGATGCATTTTGCCTTATTTTTTGCTTACTGGTTTCAGGAGTTTTAACATTCTAAGGTTATGTCTCAATAACTTCAAAAAGTCTAAGCCAGATAATAGATCTGAGTAGCCAGCTAATCATACATTCTAAATTAACTTAACCTTATGTCCTCCCTAATCAAAATAAGAACTAGCCCATTACAAAACATTACATCATGTATTTTTGCCTGTGGACTTTAACAGCTAAAATTGATTGCAGTGAGTCCCTGGATACCAGAAGTGTGGTTTATATTCAGATATTTATTTCTTGTCTTTCCAGCCTTGACCGCCATTGAAGGCACAGCACATGGGGAACCCTGCCACTTCCCTTTCCTCTTCCTGGAAAAGGAGTACTTTGGGTGCACCTCCGATGGGCGGGAAGATGGCAGACTGTGGTGTGCTACAACCTATGACTACAGAACTGATGAGAAGTGGGGCTTCTGTGAAAGTAAGCACTGTTCGGGAGAAGCATGTCCAAGTGGCTGATGGCCAAGGCACGCTTCTGGAGGCCTCTCTAGCCATCCTTTCCCATGTGGTCAGACGTGGCCCAGTTGATGATGTGGTTCTAGCCATATAGAATAGACTTAAGAGCTGGAAGGACGTGCTTTTATTTCAGGCTGCCAGACAGCTTATCACACTCACATCTGTCTTAAAAAGGTTTTGAACAGGAGATTCATAAACCCTTTAGGCAAGCTGCTAGATCAATTAATGTGACATTTTTTTAGCAATAAAAGAAACAGACTCTTACAGTGAAGGGTAATGGTAATTAAAAGAAAAATACCTTTCTAAAATACTTGGAGTGAGATGTGCTGCTCTAATGTAACATTTGACAAATGTATATTTAACTATGCTAAGTATAAATGTTGATATGAAGAGGCCGAATTCTACAGGCAGACTGTATTTCCAGGGCAACTTTGGATGTAAATAGACTGGCATAACAGAGAATGACAGATTTTTCTATATTACAAGAATTCATTTCTATAAATATTGGTCTTAATGAAATACATGAGTTTTGATGAGGTCTTATTATGGTAGCAAAATAATTTTGTAAAACCCTTAACAGGTCTTAATGATTTTCAGGGTCATATTAGTACGTATGAAAAATTAGTATGAGAAAATTAATGGACCTGAATACTAAGTCTGGATCTATAGTTAGTAAAAATAAAAATAAATTTTTTTGGTACCAGGGAATCAAACTCAGGCCTTTGCGCTTGCAAGGCAGTCAGCAGAACCACTGAGCCAAATCCCCAGCCTCCTCCCTTTTTTTTTTTTTTTGAGACAGGGTCTCACTGTGTAGTTCAGGTTGGCCTTGAACTTCCAGTGATCCTATTGCCTCAGCCTCCCAAGTTCTGGGATTACAGGCATGCACCACCGTACCCAGCTTTAGTTTTTATTATATAATCACTTTTTCCTTGTAAAATACACATTTCAAATAGAGCTAAAGTATTCTTTGATCATAACAGTACTTTTCTGGTCACTGTTTTCTAATATCTTCTGTTATTTTGACTAATCTTAATGTATAATCTCAAATTTTAGTTGAATTATATAAAAATGTAAACAAAAGAAAGTACCCTCCAAAAGCAATTGACAGTGTTTCCTCTAAAACAGAGTAGCTTCAATAGATTTTATGCTTTGAAAGTCTTACCTTGTATCAGTGAAGCCTGAACTTAAACCATTCTTAGAGTCATATTTAGAAATAATCATATATCATTTGTTGTATTTGTATGACTACCTAAAAGAAATAGTTTGATAAATAATCGATGTAGAATGACAATCCATATAAATCAGTGTGATGTTGTGTTTTTAGCTGAAGAACAGGCTGCTAAGAGACGGCATATGCAGGAAGCAGAAATGCTATATCAGACTGGAATGAAAATCCTCAATGGAAGCAATAAAAAAAGCCAAAAAAGAGAGTAGGTACCAATGTCAACTCCATTCTTGCCCTTAGGCCTTTACTAAGAAATAGCCAAATACTTTTTTAAAAATTGCTGCGAGAAACACAGATTTTTTTAAGTCCATTGCAAGAAAACTTAATATGATTTGTGTGCATTAGTGGTATTACTTTTAACAGGTTTTAACTTCTTAGGATAAAAGATTATAAATATTGTTCAAAATGATGAACAATGAGAAAAATGACTGAAATTGTCAATTTTGAAGAATGAAGAATGCATATACTATTCAGGATTTAACAAAAGGAATTATCATTAAATGTGTTTTTTTGGTTTTGCTTTCAAATTTTCAACTGGAACTTAAGAATTTTCACATGGAAAGAATGTAAACCAAGGGGCCAGGGATTTAGCTCAATGGTGCCGCTGCCTGCCTCGCAAGCACAAGGACCTGAGTTCAAATCCCTGGTACCAAAAAGAATAAGAATGGAAACCAGTAATTATATTCTCATGTTTCAGGTCTGCTTAATTTCAGCTAACTTTTGTTGCATTCTATGCAAAGAATTAAAAAGAAATTATAATAGTTAATTGGATTATTTACTGGACTTCATCATATTACAGGTCTCTTATTGCAAAGCTTGTTATTTAGGATTATTGTTAGTGTAATTAGACTATTCCAAGATGCTGGAATAACAGGGAGAACTGGCACCTTAGATTTCTACATATGTAAGTAAGATGAATTATGCAGAAAAAATAATATCAGGAAATTTCTTATTTAAAGTAAGGAAATTATACAGCATTTTGGTAGATCTTGAAAAAAACTTTTAATGGTACTTCCAAAACACTGCTAACTTGTTTTTCAATTGCTTGTATTTAAAGAGCATATCGATATCTTCAAAAGGCAGCCAGCATGAACCACACCAAGGCTCTGGAGAGAGTGTCCTATGCCCTTTTGTTTGGGGATCACCTGATACAGAATATCCAAGCAGCCAAAGAGATGTTTGAGAAGCTGACTGAGGACGGCTCCCCCAAAGGGCAGACTGTGAGTGTGCCTTCAGTGGAGAGCACTTGTTGATTTCAACAGCAGTTTCTCTGCGCCTTGATGTCTTTTAGTAATAACGTATCTTTAAATATTATTTTGGCAGGCCATTTTACCTTTCTCCTTTTTTTTTTTTTTCAGCTTTAATTGAGTTTTTTGGTACATTTTAGGGATACAGTACAGTTACATTCATTGTTGGGATCTTGTACCTCTACATGACAGGTCTTGGTTCTCATTTTTTCCCCTTGTCCCTGCCCTCCCTTCACCCCCTCCTCCCCTCCCCATCTACAAACACTTTATTTCCATCTTTTCATTATCTCACATTTTTTTCTTTTCCCTTATTACCCTTCCCCTACCCATCCCACCTTCCCTACACCTTTAGCCCCTTTCTTCCTATTTCACAATGTCAGTAATCATATTAGGATCTTATGTATTATTACAGTTTATTCACACCAGAGAAACTATTATGATGCTCTTTTTCCTCAGTCTGAATTTTATAGGTAATGAAGGCATTTTTTTCATTTGCATCTTGCCACAGTTACATTTGTTGTTTTTCTAAATTACATCTATAAAGAATAAAATACGCAGGTAATTCTTTTGTACCTGAAATTACTCACCATTGCATTTTTTTCAAAGTTCATATGTGGTAGCTTTTGTTCATATTACAGTTTCTTAAAATTTTTTGTTATGGAAGCAGTGTATGTCCCTGATTGGAAACTAGAAAAACAAACCAGCAAAACTAGAAAGCAGACATCACCTCTGCACTATCCATTTCTGAACAGTGATAATTGTAGTGCGTGCGTACCCTTAGACCTTTTTCTTTGTGAGTATTTACATATGAATTTTTGTTAAAATTAGATGCTACTGTTTACTGTTCCATAACTTGCTTTTTTTAATCAACAGCCTTAACCTGGCCATTCCAGCATATTTTTAGATCATATACCCATTCTGTATTCATGTTGTATTGAGCCAGAAATTTTTTTACTTTGTCTAAATAAGTACCCAATCCTGCACTACACTATATATTTAGTTGTAGTTTCCAACATAGTCCCATCCTTTTTTTTTTTTCCTTCTGTGTTAAAGATAAGGCAGGTTTCCTGCAGAATGTTCTACTTCTATTTATTTGCATCTTCATGCTGTCATTAGTTTATTTCTCTATCACCTGTATTTCCTATAAATGGTTGTCATAGCTAAAGCTTGATGAACTCAGTTAAAGTATTTTGGGCTGAACTACCTTATAGGGATGCTCTGTATTCACATGGCATCATATGTTTGCTCATTTTTTGCAGTACTTGGGATTGAACCAGCCTTTGCCCTGAGCTGTATACCCAGCCCTTCTTTTACTTTTTTTTTTTTTTTTTTTTTTGAGACAAGGTCTTGCTGATACATAGGCTGAGCTCAAACTTGCAAGCCTCCTTTCTAGTTCACGCCACATCTAGTTCCTGCTTGCCACACTCATTTTGAAATGGCAGCTCCTGACCATGGGCCACTTCTGGAACACAGATTTCCAAGCCATCATGAAGGGCAAAGAGGGAGCTAGAGGAATCTCTGGACTGTTTATAAAGTCCTGTAAAATGGAATACTACTCAGCCATAAAGAATGAGAAATTTGAGTCATTCATAGGAAAATGGACACATATTGAGGATATACTCCTAAGTGAAATAAATAAGTCACACATGTGTAAATACCGAATAGTTTCTCTGGTGTGAAAAACTATAATAGTACATAAGATCCTAATGATATAATTGACAATGTGAAATAGGAAGAAAAGGGCTAAAGGTGTAGGGGAAGTAGGAAGGGTAGGGAAAGGAAATAGGGAAAAGAAAAAAAACATGAGAAAATGGAAATAATGTATTTGTAAATAGGGAAGGGAGGAGGGGGTGAAGGGAGGGTAGGGATAAGGGAGAACCAAGACCTGTCATGTAAAGGTACAAGATCCCAATGATGAATGTAACTGTACTGTATACCTAAAATGTACAAATAAACTCAATGAGAAAAAAAAATAAATAAAGTCCAGGCCTGGAAATGGCTCACATCACTTCCGTGCACATCATGGGCACATAGTGCTCTTACCTAACTGCAGAGGCTGGGAAGTTTCAGGGAGCTAATGGATTCTCATGAGCACAAGCACTCCTTGCTTCACTTGCCTTTGTAGCTTTCGTCAAGAACCTTACCAGTGCATTGTTTGTTCACTGCTTTATTTTATTTTTTTGGTACTGGGGATCGAACTTAGGTCCTTGCGCTTGCAGGACAGGCGGCGGTACCCCTGAGCTAAATCCCTGGCTTCGCTGTTACATTTTAGAAAACAGTATGTGCTCTGATATTGCAAAGTAGCGTTTCACCTTTGACTGCTTGCTGCCTCTTTTTATTCCTTAAACAGTTTGTCCTGATAGTCTCTTGTTCTTTTTCAGAGTGTATTCCACTCTGTGTAAGTAGAGAAGTATGTCAGTGTAGCAATATGAAAGTTGTTTTGTCTTCATAATGGTTATTCGCAAAGATGAAACAGAAGTCACATTTAAGTATGTTTAGCTTTGTTTTTCTAGTTAATATTTTACTAGATTGTCTTTAATCTTCAAAATAAGCTTTATAATTTGTTTAAGGTTATATGTAGTTGTGTAATTTGTAAAACCCAGAATGCATTTCTGGGGCTCTTTAATTCCAAGTTGTACATAAATGCATTCAAATCTTTTACCACTTAAAGGATTTTATATATTTTCATAGTGCATAAGACTGTGTCTATCTTGGATAAACTTTTGCCAGGGGAAGAATTCTTACTCTTACCATTTTATTTCAGGCTCTTGGCTTTCTCTATGCCTCTGGACTTGGTGTTAATTCGAGTCAGGCAAAGGTAAGACTATTATAACTTTATTGTATGTTATAATTTGAATTGAATAAGTAGGTCCCTGTATTCAGTGAAACATCTTTTATTCTTTTACAGGCTCTTGTCTATTATACTTTTGGAGCTCTTGGAGGTAATCTAATAGCCCACATGGTTTTGGTAAGTATGACCTCAGTAGAAGACCAGTGATTTTAAATAGCAGAAAAATTTGTGATTGACACTGACTACAACTTTTCCATTGTTCTTGATTGATATCAGCTTAAGATCAAGTATTTTTGGCCAGGGATTTAGCTCAGTGGTTCGGTGGCCTGCTTTGCAAGCACAAGGATCTGAGTTCAATCCCCGGTACCAAAAAAAAAAAAAAAAAAAACCAAGAGCAAGTATTTTTTAGGTCAGATTATCATAGATTTTACATTTAAATTGATAGAGGACTTACTGTACAAAAATTATCCTGTAGAGGACATTTAAGTAAAGCTACCCTGTGAAGGACATCTCTATGTGTTACCTAATGGGTTGCTCACCTAAATAGTTTGGTGATAAATAGAAAATATTTCCACCAAATTGTTTTTATGGTAAAGCAATTAATCTACCTTGTACTTTATAAACTGACTTTAGGTTGGTCACATGACTTCTGATGTGTATTACTGTGTGTCAAGTGAATGTAGGTCTACTAGTAATGGGAATAATAGGCTGGGTAGAAATGTGACTGAAAGCAGAGAAATGATTTACAGGCTTGGTCATTGATAAGATATGAGACTTTAAAAAGAGGAAAATGTAGTTTAACTGAACAGATCCTAGCTCACTTTACCTTCATTGTATTAAAAAATATTTCGTATTTATCATCGCGACTCCAAAGATGAATAATATGTAGCACCCGCCCTCAACCAGGAAGGGAGACATAAAGAGACCATTATAGTACTGTAATTTGTCACAGAATTTGTGAGAATGTTATGGAACACTGGGATTGCCAAAGAATGGATTTAAAGAGATATTGCAGAGGGGTTCTTTTGAGGAATAAATAGTAGTAAATGAAAGAAGCAGAAAGGTGCCCAGGCTGCCGGAACAGTAACTCCAGAGGGACAGCAGCAAGACAGAACATGGTGTCTGCAAGAAAATATAAGCACTTCACTGTAAGTGAAGAGTACAACTCCCCGCATTCATGAGCAGCTGGGGACATGAGACTCAGTGAAAAGGCTATCAGTCATGCTGAGTAGTTTGAAAATGGTCCTGGTACAGCCTACACCACTGAAGAATCCAAAGCACATGGAAAACCAAAGTGTTGCTCTAACTTTCTGAGATATCTGTCACTGATTTTGATGTTTCCATTTATTTTTTTAATCTACAATAACATTCCTCAAACAGTAATTGAAAATTTCCTTTCAGGTGAATTTTCAAGAAATACGAAACATTTTATATGGCAAATGTGTATTAAATATTTTTGTACAACTCCCTTTCAGATTATATTTACTAATCTTCTTAAATAATGACTCCAGATTTGGAACATTTAATATTATGCATGGTGTCACACAGTACTGTCCTAAAGATTATTAGGGTCCAAAATCATTTAATTAACAATCTTCATACTTATTCTTTTTTATTTTTATTAGTATATATTTGGAATATATCGTGATTACATTCATCTCAGGAAATTGGTACACCCCTCATAGCTTGATCATTTTTCCTCTCCCTTCTGCCACCCTCTCTTCCCACTTAATTCTGAGTCATTTATTGCTAGTGTTACTTTGCCTGCTTCTAATAGTCTCACTTTTCTTATTTTGTTAATTTGTTATTTGCTAGTTTGAAAGATTAATGTATTTGCATTAAGATTGTATCTAAGGTGAGATTAAAATCAGCTCTAAGCACAACTCTCAGTAATTTTCTTGAGTAAAATGCACACTGTTCATAAAATTCATGGCACTTATTTTGATTTCTGTAGAGACTATTCATTTTCTAGTTCTTAGCTATAGTCTGTTGTCGTTGATAAATAAAATTACCTCAGAATTTAACACTCAGGGTAAATGAGGTGTACTTGAATCATAGGAAGCAAAATTACACCCTGAGTATGGTGAGCTTGATTTGTTCCAAGAACACCACCTCTGGCCTGTGAAACTGCCTTCCTCTCACCCAAAGGTGTCTTTCAGGGGTACCGGTACTGGGCTGGCATTGGAGTCCTCCAGAGCTGTGAATCTGCACTGACCCATTATCGTCTTGTTGCCAATCATGGTAGCTATTTTTTTCCTTTTCACCTTTCTGGGGTTATAAAGTAGGATTAATTTTAAATACATCTGTTTTTATTGTATTTGAAATGTGACTGCTTTCCTAAATAGATTCATCTTAATTAAGAAGTTTATTTGTTAAAAATTTTTTCTTTGCATTCTACTTCTTAAATATCTTGTGGGAAGGTCTAATTTTCTAATAGCTTCCTGTTTTATAATCTGTAGACTACTGTACAGACCGTTTCCTCTAACATCTTGTCTGCACATTCAGCAGCTAGAGTTATACTTCTCTGTGAGACAGCTCGTCTGACTTTCCTTTGCATCCCCATTTTGTTTCCTGTTCCAGTTGCCAGTGATATCTCGCTAACAGGCGGCTCAGTGGTACAGAGAATACGACTGCCTGATGAGGTGGAAAACCCGGGAATGAACAGCGGGATGCTAGAAGAAGATCTGATTCAGTATTACCAGTTCCTGGCTGAAAAGGGTGATGTACAAGCGCAAGTAGGTATTCAAACATCTGAGGGAATTTCTTACTGTGTTATATACTTTAACACAGGGGAAGGGAAGCATTCACTTCTGTAAGCAATGTTTATATGGCTCTGTGCAGTTATTAGCCACATATTAGGGTCACCTGTGGAGTGTTAAATAGCAAGAGTTCTGCATGCTCAAAAGAGTCCATGTGGGCTCATCTGGGATGGGGCCCAGGTATTGATAGTCCCTAAAAGCCTATTATGTGACTGCCCTGTACCACAACTGAAGGTCGCTTCTTGAATGGAGCAGCATTGCCACTGAGAATGAAGGCTCCCACCAGAGTCACCAGAAAGAAAACTGTCACTTTCTCTAAACAAGACTCTGAGACTTTTGGAATATCAGATGTTCTTCAGAGCTATTTACTGTGTGTGTTTCTTGTGCTCATCTTAGATCATGATTAGCTCAAGGTCAAGAACAGAAGTAGGTTTGTTTAAATTGTATGATGTTCATCAATTAAACAATGCAAGTGTGTGTGTGTGTGTGTGTGTGTGTGTGTGTGCTCACACATGTGATGGTTTATCAAAATAGTACAATAAAAAGAACTTCAACTTTTTTCTATTATGGTTTTAGTGTTTCTGATTTAGAATATGTAGAAATAAGTGGTAGATACTTAATTAAAAACAATTAAGGCTAACAGAAGAAAGTCATTAAAAAAGCTTGTGAAAAGTAGATCCAGATCTTAGCTCATGGAAATTAATTACAACTGAGTTATTTTGTCTCATTAAACATCTTTCTTTTACATTAGTGATGTATTTTGGTTTAAATTTTCTGTTTAGCTTTCCGTTTGCTGTGCTTTTCCGTGCTCCCTTGTCTCTGCTGTCTGTCCCTCTTGCTGTGTGCTTCTGGCTACCACATCTCCACCCACGAACACGATCGTTGGACAGCCTCTCACTGCTCTCAGTGGTTATGTAGACTGCAGCATTCTTCCCTGTTAGAGGCTCGTGTGGAGAAGCGCTTGCCACTTTCTGGATAACGGAGAATACAGTACTCCTACATTTTAAGTTCATTCTCTCCCTCCCTCCCTCCCTCCCTTTCTCTTTTTCTCCCTTGATCCCTTTCCCTCCCAACCTCTCTGTCTCTCTTTCTCCCTTTCCCTCTCAATCTCTCCATCTCTTACCTTTTTCTGCCTCTCCTTTTCCCTCTCAATCTCTTTCTGTTTTTCTCCCTTTCCCTCTCAGTCCCTCTCTCTGTCTCTGTCTCTTTCCCTCTCCATCTCACCCCTCCCTCTCCCTCTCCCTCTCCCTCTCCCTCTCTCTCTTCCTCTTAATCCCTCTGTCGCGCCCCCTTTCTTCTCGATGGTATGAGGAATGAACTCATGTCCTTCATCCTGACCTACATCTCCAGCCCTTTTTAAATCTCCCCCCACCTCCAAGGTCTCACTGAGTCACTAAGTTGCCCAGACTGTGCTTGAACTTGTATTCCTTTTGCCTCAGCCTTCCAGAGATCTGAGATTATAGTCATGCCCCCTGCCCCCGACCCATGCAGCTTGAATTCCATATATTTTTGAACCTTACAAAATATTATTTTATACATATATATCTATTTAAATTTACTCACCTATTTACCCTTTCATTGCTTTTTTTTTCTTACTGCCTCTCCACGTTTCACAGATACTCTTGCCTCTTGCCTGAACAGCACCTTTATTTCCTTTAGAGCAGGTTCACTGAGGATAAATTTGGTTTTAATTCTGAAAATACCTTTATTTCACTCTCCGTTTTATAAGAATACTTTGTAATTTGTAATTGGAAGCACACCTTTTTTTTGGTACTGGGGGTCAAACTCAGGACCTTGTACTGCAAGGCAGGCAGCCATACCACTGAGTAAAATCCCCAGTGGAAGTGCACCTTTTTAGTTCTTAGAAATTTCAGAATAATTAGAGTAATATCTTCAGGATTTAAGATGAAATGTCTCATGTTTTGAGTCATGAACAGAAGCCTTTTTTATGACTAAATGGTTTCTTGTTGGTCTGATGCTAATCACACGCGAGATGCTCCCACTTGCTTTTTGCCTTGTGTCTGTTGATTTTCAGGTCGGTCTGGGACAGCTGCATCTACATGGAGGACGAGGAGTAGAACAGAATCACCAGGTAACTGCCGCATCCCTGGGCTTTGCCCCTCACACTGGGCCGAGAAACCATGCTCCACATGGATTTTCGCTGAACAGTGCCAGTGTGCTTATGTCCTGTAAGGACTCATCGCAGATGAGCCTTCAGGATCTACTTACCCCTTCGGGAAGCTAATGAGGGAAATCATGAACAAACCTCAGAGTGGTGGGATGTATTCATGCCGAACCTAATTCTCTATGCTGCCCGAAAATTACACATATGGGTCTTGGTTTCCTGTAACTGTGATAGAAGTAGGTCTTAAGGCACCTTTTAGAAAATGTTCTGTGGAATTGGGGAAAAAGTAGTTTATTTGTGAAAAATTAGGAGTACATAACTATAATCTATTTACCAAGTTTTGTCTTTTTCTGTCTTAAATATGACTCGTTCTTCTCTTCTTTCCGTCATTGCATCTAGCTCTTGTGTGAATCATCTGCCACAGCTTTCTAACCTAAGTCTCTGTAAACTGCACATCTGATCCTGTGGTTCCCCTGATTAAAACACTTGAGTGCTGTGATTTCCAGTAGTTTAAAATCAAAAGTCTTCAACCCCCAAGGCTTTGTGCCAATCTCTGTTTTTTGTAGCTCTCTGAGTCACAGACCCACAGACCTTTTCGAAAATATCTGAGCCTATCAGGGTCCCCTCTGTCTCAGAACTTCCGAGTCACTGGTTCCTCTGGAATGACTACCATTCCGCTTGCTGTCTTCATATGGCTAATTCCTGCCCATCCTTCAGAACTCAGCGCCAACATGTCATACATCTCCCCTGAAGCCCAGCCTCACAGAAATAGGTCATGTACCACAAAGAATTTCTGAAAATTTCTACCCCTTGTGGCCCTTGTCCACTATAAATCACTTATGTAATGAAGTGTCCCCTGCTAGAACCAAAAGTCCAAAAGAGCATGAACCATTGTCCACTTTATTGCTAGCCCCCAACAGGGCCTAGCATGTAGTAAGTTCTCAATAAATGTTTATCAAACTACTAAAACTTCTACCCTGCCATTTCAGTTTACTAATTAAGGGGTTTTTTTTATACCTGTATTCCTTTTAACCTTAAGAATAAAATGCTAACAAAATATATTTCTCACTAAAACTTTACCAAATAGCTATTGGTTTGCTTTTATTCATACAGCTTTTGGCAACTTTCATTGTCTTTAGGTCATTGTGTACATTTCTTATGCCATTGAAGCATCAGATAAGCTAGTTAATAAAAGCATCAGGCAAATGAGTTTGGTGCCTATTTCATAACAAGTTTGAGAATATTCTTGTATCTTATGGTACCTGTGAATTATCACAAAAATTAGTAACTAGTTCATAACTGCATTAGTTTAATAAATATTTCAGTACCTACTGTGTGTCACTCACTGCTAGGTTTTCAGAATACAATATTGGACAAAACAGCTTTGATCTGTGCCTTCATAGAGCTTCAAGTTCAATCGGGTCATTAGACATTTAAGTGACCTCACCAACAAATGAAGAAGTAAAGGATACAATAATTGGCTAATAGGTGAAAGGAACCATTTGTCAGGGAAGCCATTTCTAAGGAGATGTACGTGAGATTTCATTTGAGAACAGAAGTAGTGTCATCCCAGACCCAGAAAAGGGCTGCTATACCCAAAGTGCAGAAAGCTTTATACATGGTGCAGTGCTGAGATAAGCAGTCCTTAATCACACCGGTATATCCCTCAAGCTCAAAGAGGCTACAAGGGCCAACACTGTCTAATTTCAAAACATTGGCTTTGGCTGCTGAATAGAGAATGAGTTAGAAGAGGAGAATACAATGGACCCTTGACTTACGAATTCCATCGGTTCCTGAGGGTTGGTTGTTAACTCAAGTTGGTGGTAAGTCAATACAGCTGAGATCTTGATGTTTACCTGGATACACGCTACAGATTACAAGAGGCTGATGAATCTTCCATTAACCTGATTAACCCAAGTTGTTCATATGTCAGGCTGCTCATAACTTGAGAGTCCACTGTAGTTCAGAAGGTCATGTGAGAGAAAATGTAGCTTGAACTAGAACCGTGATAATGGAGGATCCTGGATAGATTCTATTTGGTGGTCACCCAGACCGTGATGCATTGGCTATGAGTGCAGAGGCAGGTACCTCGAGCAACCAGTAGGTGGCATTATTGCCTAGCTAAACAGATGATGGAGGAGAAGCAACTTGAGGTTAAAGACAGATTTCAGAGATCTGGCCAAGCTTCGGATGTTCAGAGGTAGTTTAGGGCAAGGCAAATGTAATAAAATTTAGAGATTGCCATCATCTTGATAGAATGTGAAGCCATGGGAGTGGAAATAAGATTGCTTAGAGGATGTAAAGTGACGAGTCACAAACTGAGCCCTGGAATATGTAGAATTCAGCCAATAGATAAGAATCAGCAAAGGAGGCTTAGATGATGCAAGTAAAGGAAGAAACTGGGAGAGTGATGTCTTGTATGCCAAGCAGAGTGTTTCAAGAAAGAGAGCGTGATGGACTTTGCCAAGTGCTATATAGAGGTGAAGGAAGATGAAACTAATTTTACTGGCAGTATCAAAGTCAGGGTTTCTTGATCAGCTTTCGTCCTGAAGCATTGTGGATGGAAATCAATTAAGACTGATTGTAGGGCACATTAAAGTGCCTATGAACAATTCATTTGAGAAAATTGTCCGTGAAGAAAAGTAGTTAATACAGTCATCATTGGAGAAAAATTGGGAGTCTAAAGGAAAGATGGATTTTGTGTGTTTTAGTTCTGCTTTTTAATAACAGATTGATTACTAGAATCCAGTTAAGTGGGAAAGGACCAAAATGAAGGGGAGGTTAAGCCAGCAAGGTGAAGAAGTAATTGATGGTACGAGGTCTTTAACAAAGGTGGGCAGTACAGTTGAGGGTAATGATAGTGAATTCTGCTGATGCCAGTTTGTTCAATTATGTGATTTTTAAGTAGAATCCAAAATCTGTTTCTGAACAATAGAAAAGTAAATTGTATTTCTTTAGAGAACAGTGAAAATATGGCCCATGACTTATAAAGACCTTAGTTAATGTGTTTTTCCCCCTTCTTCAGGTTACCAATAGTAAGGTAGTGAGACAAAATTAAGTTGCTGTTAATGTCTTAAGCAGCCTGAATCTTGCTCACATTGCATGTAAATAACACAAGTCTTCTTGGCTTAAGTTTAGGGAATGCAAGAAATTTCTTTGTGGCTGTTAACTATGAGATGACTTAAAAAAAACATGGTTCCTTGATATAGCTAGCTAGTGGGTAAGACAAAGCTTCTAGATGTACAGATTTCTATTTTTAAGTATTGATTACTGGATATTGATTGTTTATAAATTGTTTACACATAATGTAACAAGGTTTCTTTAGTGTTCCTGGAGTAATTACTTCGGCTAAAACATATTCTTTTTAAAACTAATGATTTTCATAAATTATTTTCTCACAGAGAGCATTTGACTACTTCAATTTAGCAGCTAATGCTGGCAATTCACATGCGATGGCTTTCTTAGGAAAGGTACTGTATATCCTGTGAATGTATTATGCAATAATAAAATGTTTACATAATAACCACATATTAAATTCAGGAGCTACAGTGTACCAAAAATAAATGGGAAATAAAATTTCCAGTACAAAGTTGTATCTTCTTGAGGTAAGTGCTATTCTAAGACGTTTTATTAGGCAGTTTAAAAATACAATATTTGGCCATCAGTATGTTAATCCTCTGTTGAAGTTATCAGTATCTGAGCTCTGCTTTGTGATATTTTATGCAGTAATGAAGAATTTACACTTTATACTATACAGCTTTTTGCTAAGATTGTCACAGTCGCATGTTTCCTTTCATGCTGAATGGAGACAGAGTTCACTGAAATTTATCTGCAGAACTTTTAATTGTTTAAATATGACAGTTTAGATATCTACCTCTCCATGCAATTCTTTTGGAAACATGTACATCTGAAGACTTACTGAATAGATTCCATAGAAGAATCTCAAAACTTTTTCATTATTTTGAAAGCTAATGCAGTATAATGGTCATTTTCATGTACAGCCAAACCCTAACGTAAGGAAGTTCAGGTGGACTGTACCTCAGAGGAGAGTCTCATCAATATTTGCCACGTGGTCACAGCTAGTTAATTGAGGCCTGATAACTATATTTAAACATGTCAGTATAGCATGGAAATTGGTGTTCCCCCATCTGTTTCTGTTAAGTATTTTAAAACTTTTTTGTGTGTGTCCTTGCTCTGAATTACTAATGAACCTTACCTCAACCAAACTTTGTTATTTCTTTACATGTACATTGAAAATTAATGACACTGGCCATTCTGTTTTCCTTTCTCTTGGTCCCTTGTCATATTCCATACCTGATACTCTGATTGTTTACTATTTTAAACCTTTTTTTAAAAAGCCTTTAAGTATTTTTTTGTCCTGAACTTAAGATCTACCATTTCATTTTCCTTACCCTGGGAGAAGCAGAGGTAGGGCAGGGAAGGTGAATTCTGCTGATGGCCTCCTTGTCCTCCTCTAGCCGTCTGCCTGAGCCCAAGGAAATCATTAGCCCTTTGGCTGCCCTGGAATAGACTGAGACAGATGTGCAGGTCATCTTTTGAGATGAGTCTATAAGCTGCCTTTATACATCCATATTTATTCATGAAGTGTAAATTTGATGTGGCATGAAATATATTTTTGCTTTTAATTCTAAAGTACTCTGTGGGGGGTGCTAAACTTTGGGAAGATTCCATGAGATTTAATAAAAATCAAAATGAGTTGACATTTTTAAAAATGTAATTGGAGGGAGAGTTACTGCACTGACCGAAACTGGGTTCTGTTTTCTAGATGTATTCAGAAGGAAGTGATATTGTGCCTCAGAGTAATGAGACAGCTCTACACTACTTTAAAAAAGCTGCTGATATGGTGAGGTTTCATGACTCGATATATTGCTAATATTTAATAAATGAATGTATGACATTGAAAGATGAATCATAACCAAGTCATGCCATAAGTAAAGGTGTGTATGTAAATATGATTCATGTGAAAATACTGACTGGACAGTCTTCCCAATAAGCAGGAAAAATTCTTTTAGAAACTAGATTGTTGATTATTAACTCTCTGTTTAAATTTCTTAGAGAAGCTTCCTAATCAAGTAAAAATTGATTTTAGCAGTGGAATGGAGAATTAAATAACCTCCCGTATTTGAATGGCAACTTGAAGTTTAAAAGCTTACATGATTAGGTGTTTTTTTTATATATAATCTTAATACATAGTTTGAGCTTTCTTTGGCTCAGAGAAAACTGCATGCATGTAGTGACGCTGTGCCCTCCACTGTGTTCCTTACCGACCACGTGTCCCCATACTCCAGCTGTCACCTGAGTATCCTTGCTCCATGACATTTTACTAATCTGAAGTATATCTTTGCCACCTGATAGTGGCATTGCTGTCATTACATGACTGTTGACTCTACCCCCCAGGGTTAGAAGGAAGATGTCACAAAGTAGAGTCAACGGTCATGTGACATCATTTAATCTTTATGAAATGTTATTTGTGTTTTACATAATAAATTCATGTAAAATTTAATTCTTTTTTTTTTCAAAAATACATTTTTATTTATTTATTTATTTTTACTGGGGATCGAACTCAGGACTTTACACTTATGAGCCAGGTAGAAAAATCCCTGAGCTAAATCCCCATCCAAAAATACTATTTTGATAACTGGAAAACATAAGATTACCATAAATTATTAACCAAGTCCTTGTTTTCAAATATTTAAGTGGTCTAATTTTTATCAATTTGAATGATGTTATGAACAACTGTGTGTATAAATGATTTCAGCTCTTAATATTTCCTTAGAATATATTCTTACAATTGGAATGCTTGTTTTTAATATGAATATCCTTTGTAAAATCTTGGTACATATTTTTAATTGGTTCTTCAGAAACTTTCTCAATTATAAAATTTAATTCTAAATGAATTACTGCTTACTCTTTATAACCAGATTACTGACAGCCCCACCAGATGTCTGAAAGTTAGTACTATGTTTCGCCTGATAGGAAGGGAAAAGTTTTGAATTGAAAACTATTAAGACATGTTTTGAATGTGTTTGTGAATGATTGCTTTTGTAGGCATTTATTTTTGCCCACATTTCAGTGAATTCTTTTCACTGTTTTCTAATTTCTCTGGATTTCAGGGCAACCCAGTTGGACAGAGTGGGCTTGGAATGGCCTACCTCTACGGGAGAGGAGTTCAAGTTGTAAGTGTTCGGCTTAGCGCTCTCACTCGAATACCAGTTAGCTAACGAGGTCCAGGTCGGGAGGTGTTCCTCCGCTAGCGTCCAGTCAGCCCAGGGCGCTCGTTCCATGGTGACTAAAGCTGAGTGTTTTCCCTTGTCTGTGAGTCTGGCTCACTGCCATCTCGCACCCTGAACCCCTTTCTTGCTGTCTTCAGAAGATTGCTCCAACTCTGGCACCTTCTGACTTGGGTGGAGCTGTTCACTTTGTCTTTGCTCTTTGTCCTCCTCTCTCTTCCCATTTCTCTAAGACATAAATACCTTCCTTGCCTACTGTTTAAGTCAGTCTTACAAAATGCTTAAGTCTCCCATTTAGGAGGGAGAAGCTTTCCATTGTGCCCTTTGCCCCTTGTAGCTACCACCTCTCTCCCCTCCAGCCCTCAAATACAAAGCCAATTTCTCCAAATAATGAACTTTGTTAAGCCACTATCATTCACCCTGTAGTTCTTAGTAGTTCTTCTTAAGCTACTGTCCTCTCTGTCCTCCTGCTCACTGGTAACCTCCTAAATCCCAGTCCAGTTGACATACTTTGGTCCTACTTCACTTGAGCTTTCTCTTCCATGGGGCTCTGTGGCTGCAGGCTCTTGGTTTTCATCAGCCATAGTTTCTCATACTTCTGTGCTGTCTTTTCATGTTGGGTGTCCCTACATTTGTGATGTGTTGGGCCTGAAAGTAAGATCTAGATATAAGAGTGTGACCTATGGCTACTCCCAAACACAAAACACAGTGATGGGGCCTCACTGTGACTCCTCCCAGTCATTTTAGGTTACTGAAGTTCAGAACTTTTCTCTGGATAACCTTTGCAATCTAGTAGTCACAGAGTGTCTAGTAAGATACACTGAGAAGGGACAATTAAGAAGAGAAAAGTTTTCCGTATTCAATATAAGGAAAACTATGGTTTAAAAGGTTTAGTTGGTTAATAGAAAAGAGTGACAATGTTTTAACTTCTGGTCTAATATTCTAGCTTTTATGCTGAAAGCAATCACAAATTGTTTTACGAAACTTTTATTTGTTTTTCTTCAGTCTTAAATTTATTGCACTACAACTTGAAATATTAATATCTGTGTAAAAAAGTCCTTTTAATAACCCTTGAAAATAGTTTATTTTGTTCTTTTCACTATATGAATCTCTTAACTTCTGAGTGTTTCAGCCCTTTAAGCCTTTTCATCATTTGATGTCTTTTTCTTTAGAATTATGATCTGGCACTGAAGTATTTCCAGAAAGCTGCTGAACAAGGCTGGGTAGATGGACAACTACAGCTTGGTTCTATGTACTATAGTGAGTAACATTGGAATTAACCCATTTGTGCCAAAGGTCGCATGTTTTGCATGAAATTTGTACGTTTCCTAGAAAAGCTGAAGGAACAAGAGTTTGAGGAGAAAAAGTTTTATTATGTTCCATTGTTAAGTGCCATTCCAAAAAATGAAACACCACACATAAAAGGATTAACAGTGAAGACCCCAAGATCTAAACTAACGTATTTTCCACTAGGTGGCTCAATGATATGGAAAAGGGGGCTGTCCAATTCTGGCTTTAATGTTCTTCAACTCAGTTATGTGTGCTTCTTGCTGTTCGCTGTAAATTACTTTATTCAGTATTAATATAGTAATCTTTTTAAAATCGGGTTCATTTGTTTACTGTGAATTCTGACTTTCCTAACAACTTTATTCCTCATAAGGAAGTCTACTCTGATGCTTACACAAATCTTAATTTAAGGCCCTTACAGACCTTTTATGTGACTTTGTTTTCCCTTACAGATGGCATTGGAGTCAAGAGAGATTACAAACAGGCCTTGAAGTACTTTAATTTAGCTTCACAAGGAGGCCATATCTTAGCTTTCTATAACCTGGCACAGATGCATGCCAGCGGCACAGGTGTGATGCGATCCTGCCACACTGCGGTGGAGGTGAGGTCTTCTGCCCATCCATGCAGGGAGTGGGTTTTCCCAACAGGAGGCCCACCCTTTCATTCTGGCTTTCTTTGCATGATTTCTTCTCTTATAGAAAAAGACAGCTTTCTTACCATCAATGTACTAAGGGAAGACCCTGGAGGTCTGCATAACTGTTGTACTTACTTAATTGGACCCTCTGTGCATAAGAGCAGATAGTGGTGTGTGCTGTATCTTGGACAGTGTCTGACATTTATATATGAAATCAGCATCAAAGAGAAAGATGTGATGAATAAATGTTCTAAAGGAGAATACTAATATCTCCTAATTGGAAATTTTCCTCTTTTGCTCCCTCAGACCTGACAAATTAGAGTGACATTGATAAATGGTTAGCAAAGTTTCTAAATCTATGTGCTTTAGCATTTTCACTTGTAAAATAGGGCTGTTACTAGGACCTCCTAGGAGGGCCCCTCATGAACCTCTTGGGAAGTTTTAGTGTGTTAATATCCATAATATATATCAATCAGTAGGATAGTACCTGGCTAGAGTAAATGGTATATAATTGTTTGCTATTTCTGTATAAACATGTTAACTTCTAAAGAGTAAATAAAAACAAGCTTGTAGAGATTCAAAGAGCAAGCTTAACAGTCACTTGTAGCCCAAGGTTCAAAAGTTAGTTTTTGTTATATTTTACTTTTTCCCCCTCTTTTCATAGTTGTTTAAGAATGTGTGTGAACGAGGCCGCTGGTCCGAGAGGCTGATGACCGCCTATAACAGCTATAAGGATGGCGACTACAATGCTGCGGTGATCCAGTACCTCCTGCTGGCTGAACAAGGGTACGAAGTGGCGCAAAGCAATGCAGCCTTCATTCTTGATCAGAGTAAGGTTCACTTTAGTTCTCTTTATGTTTAATACATTCATTAACCATTTATCAAAATACAGTGGTTATACAATACCATTTTTCCAATATTGGATACCTAGAGGTGTAATTAGTAATTAGTCTCATTATTGGTACAATGGACAAAACGTGTTTCAGTAAGTAGCAAGCACCACTCCAAATCCAGTGACTTCTTTGAGCTCAGTCTTTTATTCCAATACTTGTTTGATCTCAGTACTTGCTTAATACTTTTTATGTGCCACAAATCCACCCTAGTTTGCAAATGAAGCCAATATTCTAATACATTTCCTTGAATGCCTGATTTGTACTTTCTTTTCCTGTAGGAGAAGCAACCATTGTTGGTGAGAATGAAACTTATCCCAGAGCTTTGCTACATTGGAACAGGGCCGCTTCACAAGGTGAGTGGTTAGTGCTAGGATAATAGTTTGACCCAGGGACCTCTTGATTTTTATCTCCCATAAACACTGTCATGTCATTCATCACTTTAAAATTGAGCAGAGATACTGTTGCTTAACTTGATTACATCGTGATCAGCATTTTTCTTAAAATGATTACTCTAGCACCAGGGTTTCTAAGTTGAATTTCTGTTTGTCTTTGTACTGGATATTTGCATCTTACTGTGGTTCATTCTTTGGTGTAGTTGAGGCCAATTTATAATATAAAATGAAACAGAATATCAGCTTAAAAGTCAAAAGGACTCTATCTTAGTTACTTTCTCATTGCTAGAACAAAATACCCAACATCACCCACAAGTTAAAGGAAAAAAGATTTACTTTAGTTTACAGCTTGTAGAGATTTTAGTCCATAGTCGTCTGGCTTCAAGGCAGGGCAGCATGGCAGAGGGGAATCATGGAGGAGAAACAGTCCAAGGCATGGTAAGCAGGAAGCAACAGCATTCCTTTTGCTTTCCCTTTTCCCTCCATCTGCAAGCCTTTTGGTTGATGCCACCCATCCTGAGGGTGGGTCTTCTGCCTTCAGTAAGTCTATCATACCCACCCAGAACTGTGCTAAACCAATCAGTGGAGTAATGTAGTATCACTCACCCATGACCCACTATCACACACCCATGGTCGAGCCACTCCTATAACCCCCACCTGTGAGTGCATGAGCTTTTCTGGAGACATCTAAATATAAGCCATAACTGACTCTAACCTTTCCCTTGTCTTTTCCTTTGAATATATCTTTCTCACACATACTCTACTCACCAATGTCTGCCTATCCTTTCTTCAAGACTAAGCAATGGTCAAACTGAACTGTTTTTTAAGATGTGAACAATGTAATAAAATAGATCATGGTCATTTAAGAGAAATGTTTAGTAAAATAGAGAATACTACCACTTTGTTTTATTTTTCCCTAACTCTTACAATACATTCTGCAAAAGAGGGGTATATTCCTTGTTTAAATTTTCACTGACCCTATGGCTTAGACAAGGTTTGTATTATCAGGTTTGTGTACTGCAAATTAAAAATCTTTGTTTTATTTAAGCATGTTAATGGAGATAATGAGTTTGGTCTGTTGTAAGCACTTTATTTATTGGCAGTTTTGCATTTAACTTTCCAAAGGCTATACTGTGGCTAGAATTAAGCTTGGAGACTACCATTTCTATGGATTTGGCACTGATGTAGATTACGAGACTGCATTCATTCATTATCGTCTTGCTTCTGAGCAACAGCACAGTGCACAAGCAATGTTTAATCTGGGATACATGCATGAGAAGGGACTGGGCATTAAACAGGTGAGTGTGGCTTCTTCCCAGCAGGTGTTCCAGTCATGAAATGGTGATGGGGAGATGCCTGCCTTTGTGCAGAAAGTAGACTTGCTTTGGAATTCCAACAGATGTTAGGCCACTAAGTTCCAAGGCTGAGTTCTGTTATTTCAGAAGACCGCCCAAGAATCTCGTCTCCCAGCAAACACAGGTCAAGCTAATACACTCTTTCTTGGCAAATTGCATTTTCTAAAACATTTAGTTGTTTTTATTTCAACATGTAAATTTTTATATTATAAAGTCACCTTCACATTCGTAATATTAATTATTACTATTAGGTACTTAAATGTTTTATCAAAACTCTAGGGCTATAGACTCAGTGCATTCAGTTTTGAGAATATCTCTGCTGTGTAACTAACTCCCCCATCCCATCCCTGCGCTACTATATTTTTTAAAAACTCAGAAACACCATACTACTGGTATTATTTGAAGGTGCCATTCTTTTTAATGTCATACCCCAGGAGTAGGTGAAAGTAAACATATGTGGGGAAAAAGTCCTTTTTAGCCCCTTCTCGAGTCTCATGGAATGGTTTCCTTTGAGTTTGGAATTCTTCCAACAATAGCCAGGGATGGAACAAGAGAGATTTTTCGGTGAAAATTGTCACAACTCCCACTATTCCTTTCATTCTAGCACATACCTAAATTCCCAACTCTTCACCCACAACCTAAATTAATAATGACTTCTTTACTCCTTTATAGAAACACGTCTAAGACAAGACAACCTGTAGCACGTTTTCAATTAATGAATACAGAAGCCTTCTCCAAAACCCATGTTTTAGGGTGTCTCTTTATGCAGTGAGCCCTGAGGTCTTTCCATGCCCAGGCACCTGATGCAGGGCTGGCAGGAGAGCCACGTGGCTTTCTCTGCAGGGGAAAGAGGCGCCGAGAACACACCCTGACCTCAGTCAGCACTGCCTACCCGGAAGAGAGCTTTTGTGGACCCTGAGGAGCTGCATCATCGAGGCCCCTAACACAGCAAGACAAGTGCCTCTCGGGAAATCTTGAGAGAACTAAGAATTTAAACTAAACCAAAGTGTCTTACACTGAGTAGGGTTTAAGTAGGAAAAAACAGCTTGAAACTTGGAGCTCATCTTCGGAAATCTCCAGGTTAACAATAGCCATGCCTGCATCCAGCACAGCAAACAGGATATTACATTGGAGGAAAGTGAGCCAAGTGTTCTAAGTTTTATGAAATTTATCAAAATTTTATAGTTAGATAATTGAAGAAATCAGAAAACTTGGGTTTTTTTTTTTCTTTAGATGAGGAAAATTCATTTTTCTTTAGGTGCAGGAGATTCATCTTAAAATGAAAACTTGAAAGATAAAACAAATTTTCCTAATATAAAAACTAAATATTCTTCTTACCTGCTTTGCCAAGGAATGAATTTTGGTCCTTTGCCTGTATTATAGGATATTCATCTTGCAAAACGCTTTTATGACATGGCAGCAGAAGCCAGCCCAGATGCACAGGTCCCAGTCTTCCTAGCACTCTGCAAACTGGGTGTTGTGTACTTCTTGCAGTACATAAGAGAAACAAATGTAAGTGGTCCATGGGTCTTTTTATTAAAATGCAAATAATGTCGCTCTCTCAGGCCTGGGAGTTTGTATCTTAATAGCGCTGGAACACAGGGAAGAATTCCCTGGGAGTGTCTGTTCTTGGCCCTGTTTGTGCTCACCTCAAGCACCCAAGTCCTCATCAGGTGAGGACTGAATGCAGACACACACAGGAGGATTTAGGCACTGCTGTGAAGTGCTGTTTCCTAGGGCTGAGGCACTTCACATTGGTACAGCTGTTTTCTGGCTTAGGGCACACTGAGGTGAGTGCATGGCAGTGGAAACAGAAGCTAACTAAGCACAGTAAACATTAAGTCAGGTAACTGCCTGTTGATTATTTGAACCAATACCTTCAAAAGAAAAACGGAAAAAGGAAGAGGAGCCTGAGAAACTGTGCTTCATATTCCTCTCCTAATAAAACATGAGTTATAATTGCAACCAGAATTTTCTTCCCTAAAGATAGCTTGAGTTGTTTAAATAAGCTAGTAGTCGAACCTGCATAAGGATGGGTTACCCTTTCTCTTCAAAACCACCAACTCTAATAAAACATAGGTGCACTTAGAATCTGCCAGTTTCACACAGTACCTAGAGTTCACCCTAAAATGTTTAGAGCCCTTGTTAAAAAAAAGACTTAACTTTAGTTCATTCAGGACCAGGAAGGGCTGATGTGTCGGCCTTTCATCAGTGCCTTTCAGGACAGGTTGGTACACTGCTGCAGCGTTAGCTCCAGATCAGGCTTTCCTTTTGAAAGCTGCACAAAATAAATGTAACCCATCTGCTCCAGCATCAGTGAAGAGAAAGCAACTGCTGACTTTGCCACCGACCCCAGGCCCCTGAGGTCCTCTAGATGTGGGGCTCCCAGGTGCCCATGCATGTGCAGTGCCCGCTGTTGTGATTGCTGGGCATCAGGAGCCATGGGTGCTGTACCCTCTGCCATTTGAAACAGCCTTTTTTCTCTCATTACCAAGCTCCTCATGTGGCAGCTCACTGACAGGTCTGTCTTGGACCCCTGTCTCCCAGCACTTTACTCACTGGCTCCCGTAGCCAGCCTGTCACACGCATGTTGTTGTTGTTGTTGTTGTTGTTGTTGTTGTTTCTAAACTAAAGCCTCAATATTCAGATCTAATTGCAGTGTCGGCACTTTGCGGTAAATAAGTGGGTCTTGGTTTGCAGTTTGGGCACTCGTCTCTAAAAGGTTCGCCATCTCTGGTCTGGGATTTGATGTTGCAGTATATACCATACTGACAGGTTATGTGTTTGCTGTTTTTAAGTACAGAAATATAAAAGGTAGTAGAATAATCCTGTGACCCAGATATTCCAACTTTAAAGAACGTGTGAGAGTGATAAGTATTAATGGTAAGAAAGTCGGAGAGTACCGAAAAGCACAAAACCCCCTGTCTCAGGTACCCTCTCAGGGAGCATGGTAGTTTACAACTTTGTTTCCAGAGAAACTTAGCACCTACACACAGGTAAATGTTTTGAAGACCTGTTTAAGTGTGATTTTACTTAAAGGAATACCTCACGTTTACTGTTGTGGAGGTAACAGAGAATGTCAGTCATTTCTCAAAAGTGACAGTAAAACAAAAATCTCGTAGATGATGAGCATGATGATGATGAATTTTAAGTTCACATTCACATTAACACAGTTTTAGTTAAAGTCTAAGAAAAAGGCACTATTCACCCAGGTACTTAACGTTCAATTCCTGCAGTTTTCAGTCGCACAGGAGAAGTAGCGACCTTCTCAGCCCGCATGCCATCACCACAAATAGATGCCAGGTGTCCCCAGACGCTAGCTTTCTCCCCTCGTTCCTTTCTTTCCCCAATGTTCCTTTCAAACATTTTCTGTGAGAAATGGTTGACAATTGGTACATTATGTCACCAGTGAAAAGAACCCTGTTAGACATTTTATGTAGCCAGCTGCTATAAAATAGTAGCTCAGTTCCTGAGACACTTCATTGTGCGCTTTCCGCTTCAAAACACACTGCAAAATATTCCAAACTGCAATTATTTTTTAAGTTCCATATTTGTGATGTAATTTTCACAGTCCCTTGCCTGACATTGAAGTAGTAACAGTTTTTATATTGTTTTCATTAAGATTCAAGATATGTTCACTCAACTTGACATGGACCAGCTTCTGGGTCCCGAGTGGGACCTTTACCTCATGACCATCATCGCGCTTCTCTTGGGGACGGTCATAGCCTACAGACAGAGGCAGCACCAGGACCTGCCTGTGCCCAGGCCTCCGGGGCCACGGCCAGCCCCTCCTCAGCAGGAGGGGCCGCCTGAGCAGCAGCCACCCCAGTAACTGCCACCAGGCTTAGCCCTGAACCTGTTTGCTGTGGACTTGTGTTTGACGTAAGACTCTGGATTGGTGGCCACCTCCTGAAGAGGCATGAGGAAGCATTGAATTCCTAAAGCTGCTTAGAATCTGATGCCTTCATTTTCAGGGATAAGTAACTCTTACCTAAGCTAAGCTGAATGTTTGTTTCAGTGCCATATGAAATAACAACTCTCAGTGGCTTTCTTTTTTTGGTCTGAAAACATATGAGACACTCAAAGTAATGTCTGCTGCTGTACCAGCTGTCTTTCTCTTGGGTCCTTTTGCTCATTTTCTCAGTGTGCTGAAGTTCTCATACCAAACATCTTTAAGGTCTGTGATCACCACTAAGAACTCATTGATGTAAAAAGGAAAACCCAGTTAGTTTCAAGTTTAACTGTAAACATGTTTAAAAGTCTGAAAGTAAAACAAAAAAAGGGTATCTTCAGAGTGTTTTGGAACTGCAATAACTGAGCAGCTTTTTTGCAAGTATATGCAGCATATCTTTTTATTTTAAAAGGGAAAGCTGGGAAATTTCTCTTTGGCAGTTGTCACACTTTGTGCCATACTGCTCTCCTTCAGAGTCTGAAAGGCTTTGTTGAAAGGGTTCTCTGGAAACTTCACTTCCTTATATTGGAAAACATGTAGGATTCTGTGAACAGACTTCTTTGCTAACATTAATCTGCCCTGCCTACTCAGTGTAATTTGCTGGTTTATTTTGAGTATACAGAGCCTTGATCCAGAAGCCAGAGGCTGGACTAAGTGGGAGAAGTTAAAAGCAATACTGAAAAACTCCAAATGACGTACCAGCACCATAGACACGCTTTCCCAAAAGTTGAAGCATTTGCTCCCAGGTTTTATTTTACTTTGCATTTCTTACTGCACAAAGAACCAATCACCTTCCTGAATTCTTCAGATGTGAAATACCATTTTTAGTATTTGGCACAAAGTAACTACCATTATGATACTAGAAGTCAGAGCACTGAAGATGGATTAAACTTGGTGACGGATGAAAAGCAAGGCCTGTTTATACTGTTCTGTCTATTCAGGTAGCTTTTTCTGTCTGACAGTTGCGTGTTACAGGAGAATGTCAGCTGCTTGCTTCTTAACCAAACTCATCGTGTGCCTCCTGTTGGTGGCATCAGGAAATTCAGGGCTGCTCCACCATAGAATTGCTGGTTAGACTGAAAACAACTGCCACAAAGATTGGCAGCTTCACAATGTCACTCAAATGAAAGAACTGAAACACAAGCTCAATTTGGATTCCTTTGTATCATCACATGGTGGGAGCTGATGTGAAACTCACCAGTAAATGAGCAGTCCATTGACACTTTCTGTAACCCTCATCTGCCAGAAAACTTGAAGAATTGTCATGCTGTGGATTTTGAAGTCAAGGTTGTTTTTAGAACTAGATTTAATCTACAATGAACATGAAGGCTTTAAATGTGAACTTGTGTGCTTTTTTGTGTTTAGAGTATTATGGGAAACCTGGTAAGCAAACTTTCCTCCCAGATATTTGCTTCCATGTTTAAAGAGGTGGTCACAGAGAGGACCATACATGTAAAACCATATCTGTGAGAGAGGAAATCTGCCCTCCACGGTGTGATGTTGCCTTGGCAGCCCTTGTAAATCTGAATACTTGTGTGGTCTCTGACGTTTAGAGATTGGACTGCAGGTGGCACAGTATGTCAGCATCTTCACAGATGCCTCTGCTCCACCCCTTCGGAATCAGTACCCAGGAGAACAGCCACGCTTCGTTTAGAAAGCACTGTTTTAATTGACTCAGCTCAGTGACACACACCTGCAGTTCTGGCCCCTTGGAACGGTGAGGCAAGAGGATCAATCGAGCCCAGCCACAAGTTTGAGATCAGTTTGAGGCAACACGCGAAGACATCCCCGCCAAAAGTGAAACTGCTTCTAAGCGATGACTGCGAAGTTCCATTTCCACCCCCACCATCCATCTCCTCCTTGCACAGCAATTCTAGATCGACCTTTACTTCCCTCCACTGGTACTCAGAGAAAACACTTCTTAAATTAGTGTGCACTACCGAAGGCTGGACGGGCAGGTGTGGTCTTATTCTTCGTGTACTAACAGGCCTCTGGTTCGTCTACCCCTGCCATGTTTGTTTGTTTTTAATTAATACTGCGAATATCCTTCCCTTGACTAGTTTCCACCTCCTGTTTTTCCCTGGGCCTTTTGCTTCCAAAAATTTAGATAGTAGGTTTAACTTAGCCCTTACGGCTCCTTTTAAAGACTGTCTCAGTACTTGGTTCCCTTTGTCTTCTGTGTTCATGGGACGTGGTACCTAAGCAAATAGGAGTTGTGTTTGGTTTTTCTCCTAAAAATAATGCACAATACTTACCTAATCAAATGGCATCCATTTGAATAAAATAACAATAACTACAGCTAGTTAATGTCAGTGACATTAAACTAACTCCAGGAGTTGGGAGTTCTAGCGTTAGGGTTTAGACTTGCCGGTAGGATGGCGTCATCTCATGCAGCCTCTCCCTCCTGACGCCTCTTCAGCCTCTCGGTTTCTGTCTCTGTGCTTTGCTTCTTTGGTCAGCCAGTAGTTTCAGAACCTTGAAATCATCCATTTTGCTTCTATCTTATTTTACCAAGGTGGCAGTGGTTAGGGATTTTTGGTTGTGTTTTCTTTTTGTGCTTGAAGTTTTTGTATCTGTTTTCGAGGTGAGGCTTGTCTTATTTTTGGTTAATAGTGGCACAGAAAAAATACAGGTTTTTTTTATCCACAGTTGACTATTTGGTATTTAAATCAGATTGTGAACTATTAATCTTGACTTCCGGAGGGCTCATTGCTCTTCTGCGTATAAGGGTAATTCCTGAGAGTGTGACCACCAAACTGTTTCATTTCTGTACCATTGGAAAAGCTTAGAAACTTCCGCCAGCAATCTGGTGATGATCTGATGATGGATTAAATTAAAAGCCTCCAGGAAATGCACACACACACACACACACATATAAAGCTTTTTGTGCTTTATTTTTCTTTTCTCTGCCTCATGTTTG